TGCTTAATTTGTGGGCCACTCAAATATGATGATGACGATGGCCATAAAAGGTGGCTGAGGTTGCGGGTCAGCAGGTCATTTCAAAAGAAAATTGTTGATGCCCTTGTTTATGGAAGGGACTGACACAGAGCGAAGGTTTAAGTTCGTGATTGGTTTTTTTTTTTTAATGTAGGTATATATCTGTATTTGTACTTGCATGTAAATTATATTTTATATGTTATCCCGGACAGGTATTTGAAAATAAATATTGGTTGCTAAACATCTCCAGACAAAACCCATCAGGTGTGGTTTTGCTTAAAGTCAGTGGTCCTAAAGGCCTTATTCCAAGAGTCTTAATTGTTGAATTTTAAGTTTAATTTATACAAAATCGGTGGAATTAAATTAAATTTTAGGAACAACCTAAAGAATTGTTTGACTACTAAAATCTAAATTTATTGTAATTTTTTTTTTTATTATAATAACTTACCTAGTTGAGATTAAGAGAAATTAATGCCATTAATTAAATTTGAGAGATTCCCTTCGTAAAACTCAACGATTTGTAAGCTAGTCAATTATCTTATTACAATCAATTCCTTCCCCCCCCAAGACCGGTTTCCGGCATCCGAGTGCGCACTGTGGGGTCCCGGAGGAGTGACACGTAGTCGCTTTACTTTAGCTCAACTCATTTCCGCTGCTCACATGACTTTATGCAATAACATCCAAATAAAATTATCTTATCAGCCACTGAAGCATCCTGCGTGTCCTGCGCGTGTGTGTGAGTGCTGGCTAATTTTATTGCATAAAACTTGTGCTTATTGCGTTCCCCTTGCAAGCCCCTCGCTCCTTCGAAAAATTGCACGTTCCGGTCATACAAAGCGAACGTGACCGCTTGACCCTCGCAGGACGCAAGAAGGATCGGACAGGACAACTCTGGACCAGCAACACACTCGTCCCGGCTGGTTCCGCTCTCCGGTGACGATGTCCTGCGACATGTCCCATTTCCATGTAATGGCATGGCTTATGGCACTAACCATACAACATATAGACTGGTCATTTCATACAACGAAAATGGACGCAAAAATTTCTTAGCGTACGGTCCCATGTTAACAGTTTGCTGTTAGCGACAGACCGTCTGTTAGATTTTAGCTGTTAGCGACCCGTCCCATGTTAGCTGTCAGCTGTTAGCGTCAGGCCTTTACATGTATGCGTGTTCATGCATTCACGTACACGGGTGCATGTGTGCGATCATTTCATTTCGGGCCAGCAAGAATATTTGGTCTTTTGCTACTTTTCGCGCTAGGTACCCTAACAATATGGGCATATTCGCTATTGGGTTAATGATACAAATAATTTTATATGTTATAATATATTTCTTAATGTTTCAGCATTCATTTCATATTTGTTTACAATTCAATTCAGTGGCAGCAGTGAAATGTGTGGCATATATGTGCATATGTATTCGAATGAATAAAAATCCATCTACTGAGATAGGAACAGGGCATATTGGAGTCGGTGCTCGTGATCAGGGAACCGTGAAGGTTTACAAAAACAACGACGCAGGTAGAAAGCACATCGCTGCAATCTCGAGTTTGCGACCCAAGCGACCGAACTCGCACATCGTACCAAAAACAAGAACAATTTTAAAGGGAACTGCGAGGCTGGCGTTGACTTCTGCACTAAAGAAAAAAAGTTTGGATTTCTTTTGTAGTCGTTTTTCTTTGGTGGACTTAAATTCACGCAAAAATGGCTGAAGTTATTGAAAGCTCCAATGAGATATTTCTTTTCAAAAATAATAATTTGGATCTGATGCAGTGCAATCGATTTTGACGAATTAATAAACAAATATACATTTTTGACCAATTAATAAACAAATATAATTAATTCTACTCAAAAAGTTTTTGTCAGTGTATTTCCTCTGCTCGCACATTCTGTGTGGCGCGTGAATGCCCTTTTCCTATCTCAGTAGATGGATTTTTATTCATTCGAATACATATGCACATATATGCAACACATTTCACTGCTGCCACTGAATTGAATTGTAAACAAATATGAAATGAATGCTGAAACATTAAGAAATATATTATAACATATAAAATTATTTGTATCATTAACCCAATAGCGAATATGCCCATATTGTTAGGGTACCTAGCGCGAAAAGTAGCAAAAGACCAAATATTCTTGCTGGCCCGAAATGAAATGATCGCACACATGCACCCGTGTACGTGAATGCATGAACACGCATACATGTAAAGGCCTGACGCTAACAGCTGACAGCTAACATGGGACGGGTCGCTAACAGCTAAAATCTAACAGACGGTCTGTCGCTAACAGCAAACTGTTAACATGGGACCGTACGCTAAGAAATTTTTGCGTCCATTTTCGTTGTATGAAATGACCAGTCTATATGTTGTATGGTTAGTGCTTATGGCCAGCAGCAACGTTCCAGTGGCAGAGCAAGCGGAATTACAGTAATTCATGGTAATTTTTTGTATCTCTCTGCAGGAGAACCCTGGGCAAGAGAATGACAATTTGCTTGTTGCTCTAGGAAATGGATCGTAATGGTGGAACAACAAAATGTTGTCAAATTTGACGTGCCTTGTACGATATAATTAAGGCTTTTTATAAATTTAGTTATTGAGTTTCACACCCTCAAGACCTCCCCGATAGAGTCTTGACATAACATATTAAACAAAACATGAAAATCATTTCAAATTATGTAAACATAACTTAACTTAATACTCCTCAACAAAGCATTGTAAACAGAATTAACTTCGAATTAGGTTTAGTTGCCAAATATCTAGGTAACAGTGCACTAGTCAAATAAAATTGCATTATTTTTTTGCATTATAAACATTTGGAAAAAAAAAAAAAAATGATTTTCACATTTACCCATTTCTTACTACAACCTGTAAACAATTGCTTACTGATTATAATTTTATTTGAAATTTAAATAATGAACAACATTGAAATCTGAGTCTCAATCAACAATTGACAAGGCTAAGCGAAACTCCTCCGCCTTACCACTTATTATTTAGGCCCTGGAAAGGCTCTGCCTAGCCACGGTAGGCAAATGTGGCTAGCACGTTCTGATGTTACAATGAAACGACGAGGACATCGACGGGAAGAACAGCAAATATAAATGCAAATATAGATTCTGTGGCAAGCATTTGTAGCTCGTTAGATACCAACGCCAAGGCACTCACGTATGGCATATTTACACGTAGCCACTCTTATTAGTTGTATCTAAATATGCGTGCATCTGGGCTATCCGTGAGATACATGTGCTCCTACTCTTGCCGAAGCGGAAGTGTTGATTTTCATTAAAAGCCGTCAGTTCAATTGGAAAAACGATGTTGTGGCAACCTGTGTATGATATCTGTGCGTTTGCTGACCTCTGTCTGTGCTATGTTTAACTTATTAAATTAGCCTGCTCGAGTGGCTCGGACTGTGGCTGTGTGCGGGCTTTTTATCGAAGCCAAGTCAAATGAAAACTGTTGATTATTTTCTGTGCGCTCCATCAGTTTGGAAATAAGAAATATTATTATTAAAGATAGATAAACGGACTCAGTCCGAGTTGAATATTGAAACCACTCTTGCCACCTGACGGGAAACACAGGCCTCTTTCAATTATGATTTATTCGTTCCATCACCGAATGCAATAATTTTGAAAGAAACATGGCCGGCTGAGGGAGTGGGAGTGGAGCAGGCCGTGTGACAGTTGCATTTGGAGATAAGCAAGCTGAAGTTTCGGGCTTTGCTGCAGCAAACGAAAATTGCAGTCCGAGGAAAAGTTCGGAAAAGGACTGCTGCAGCAGTACAGTTGTCGCACTTAATTCCAAGAACGGACACAGGCTAATGCCACTCCGAGAGAAAACATTAAATTTAATATCCTAGCGGATGGCGAGCCAAATGAAATTTAAAACCAAATTTCCAGTCACACATTGTCCTGCTCCAGCCGCCTCTTTGGGCATGAGTGCAGGCATCGGCATCGGCAAGGCTTGCATGGAGCAGTTTATATAGTGTAAATATTTTGACATGGTCGTATGTTGTCACAATCATGCCTGTGTGTCCTCGGACGAGTGTTTGTTCGAAATTCGGCCATTGTCAAGCCGAAGATGGAAAGTTTATTTGTTTGCCCATGTCCCAGCACTTGCTGTTAATTTGTTAAAATTTCACTTTATAAATAAAATTCAGTTCTGGAATTCGTTTTGACCAGCCGAACTTGTACGTGGGCGTCCAAGGTGGCTCTGGTCCGGGGTTGCGTTCAGGTTGGGGTTCGGGTCCGGGTCCGGGTTGTCGTGCCGTAAGTTTTCCAATTTGCATAACTTCCGCAGCAGTTGGGACTATAAATATGCAAAGGGTTTTACGACCGCACTATATGCAAGTGCCTCAAGAAAGCGTTTTCCCGCCTTACCGCCTTGCCGCCTTTCCTCCCAGGATGAATAGCTCCCGGTTTTCTGTTTTCTGTTTGTTGTTTAGTTGGTTTCAGTTGCGCTTGAATTGAAATGGAAGTGTCCTAAATCGTAGATGGCGCTATGAAAACTGTTTGCATATCAGATGAGTACTAAGCTCCGTATTTTTTGAATAAGCTGGAAGCGAGGAAAGCAAATTACAACCTTCTGCAAAGGTGATACCCAGAAGCTGGCCAGTGTTATAGGAGTAGAAAATAGGAAGCAGTACATTATTTCTTAAATTCTTTAAGTCTCTGTTTAACCATGTTTTGTATATACTTTTGGAAAAACCAAGAACTAAACTATCTATTGATATTTAGAATAGTAGATTTAATAAAATAATTCATTCGGGCGACCATATCATATAGCTGCGAAAGGAATTATTGAAAAATTAACATAAATATATTGTTAAAACCAGTAATCCAAAGAACAGTATAAGAACAAGGTAATTAGTGCCTTATTATTCTTTACTTTATTTTATTTATTCTCTAGTAAATAAACTTTAAGAATTATAACCAGATTAGGAACAAACATTTTACCTCAACTTTTCGACTTAGATTCCAACCAGCAGGACAGTTGGCACATAACCAGATGTCACCAGAGAACATACATATATATATCCCCACAAACTGTGAAGCGTTTCTTACATTTCGATCAGAAAATTATAAAAATATAACATTTTGGAATACTTTTCTTAGCCTGTGCCAAGTGCTCGCGAAATTAATGAACAGCAACGAGCCATCAACGACATCCAGATTCCATCATGGGCTTTGATCTCAACAGCATTGTGGGCGTAGTGGACGAGGAGCTGGTCTGTCCGATCTGCAGCGACGTCCTGGAGGACCCAGTTCAATCCTCTGGCTGCGAGCATGCCTTCTGCCGCGCCTGCATAGAAAAGTGGATGCTGGAGAAGCAGATCTGCCCAGTGGACCGCTCTGATCTGCTACGATGCCACCTTGTGCCCGCCTCCCGCCTGATGCGCAACATGCTCTCTCGGTTGAAGATCAAGTGCAGCTTCGGGGATAGCGGTTGTCTCCTACACTTGCGCCTAGAGGACTACCGGTTACACGTGGCCAGCTGCGAGTACAATCCAAAGGTGGCCGTGGAGTGTAGCAACGGCTGCGGCATGAAGGTAAAGCCTTGCTTAATGAAATAAAGAGCTGCCGGAGATCGCGAGCCATTCGACTTTTTACACTGACTTAGGATTCCGATAACTAATTATACTTAGCATTAAATGATCCAATGGAATAACAATATCATTTAAGTTTAGTTAGTTTCCCAATGGTAATGGCTATTCTCCTTTCGATTTCGATTATAAGACATTTTGGTCGCATCTCTTCAAAGCTGAAATTATATTTTTTTATTGGTTTCTGAACCTTTCCTGTTGATTTGTTAACTTACTAAATTCTGTATTCCCTATTAAAGGTGCCCAAGGACGAGCTAGCCAAGCATAATTGCATTTTGGAGCTTCGAGAGATGGTGAAGAGACAGCAGGGCGAGATTGTCGATCTGAAGAAGGCCCAAGGCAGCCTGGATCTGCGCATCGTGACCCAGCGCAGGGAGTTGGAGCTGCTGCAGTATTACGTTACCGCACTGCGTTCCTCTAACCCAATGCTGCGCAACATCGGCGAGCAACTGGACCGCTACTCGCTGATGCAGTGGGGCAACGGACTGTCGCTGGCCACCGTCCGTAACTGGGGCAGCCTGATCTCCACTCCGGACAATCCCATGCATGTGGCAGTGCGAGAGTGCCTGTGCTCCTGCGGCTGCCCGATGAACCTGGTTAACCTGATGGTAGACCGCTGCCACGAGGAACACTGGCCCGACGGCCTGATCAACTTGGACGTCCGCCGCGAGAACTTCCACCGTCTGCCGCTGTATGTGACTCATCTGCTGCCCTCGCTGGCTACGGGAAAGCAGTGTGTGGTTGTGTTGGGCGGCGACAACACCCACATGCCGGAGAACCTGCGCCCCGTTCTCGGTCTGGTCATGATCTTCGTTGACGGCGTCGAGGAAGTGCAGCAAGATCCCTTGCCGGACAACGAGCTTGCCTGAGCCACACCGGTATTTCCCAGGTCAAAATTCAGTTTGGTACAAACACATCACCGATAGCAACAGCCTTCCGTTTCTCGTCTTCATCCTCGGAATGAACCGAAGTTGCTTTTAGTGTCTTAGATTCACATCATTTTTTGTGACCCCTCCTGGAACTTTTCAGTAAGAATAAACTGTAAACAAACAAAAATCAATTTATGTTAGAGCTATTGTCTAAACCATACATACATATGTTCTATATTTCAAGAAGTCGACGGGATATGCATAAGCTGGTAGTAGCCTTAAACTCAGTCGTCCGATATGTCTTTAATTTAAATCGACTTGACCATACATATATCACACTTGACTAATAAAATTCTTGACCTAAACTTGACTTCGTGGATTCGCTATAGGACTCTAATATAATTCCACAAAATTGTGATATCCCAAGAACCAACATATTTGTTTGACAAACTCATATCTGCTACCTACACTAGAGCAAATAGTTGTATATGCCCAATATTTAATTCCCTGTGCTCGAAAAGACAAGTTTTCATGAATGCTATTCGTCTGTGGAACAACCTGCCACATAGGTATAAGACAATTAGGGTCGCAACTCAGTTTAAATCTCAAATTAAATAATATTTAAAGTAAAATGAAAAATAAAGTAAAAGAAAATCTAAACAAAAAATAAATTGTTAGTGATAAGTAACAGATATGTAGGAAGTGGAAGCAATCTGCTACGAATAAGTAGACACACATATGTATATCGATAGTAAGCGAGGAAAATCGATTGAAGAATATCAGGGATCTGCGATCTCTACTTCTTGTCGGCGTTGGCGTCAAAAAGTGTACGGAATTCTGGTGTGTGAAAGTAAAATAAAGAACTACAATATAAAAGGCCTATAATAATAAGTCTATATGTGTTAAAATTAAGTATATATTTTGAATTCTTAACTTTAGTTTAGTTAGCTAAGCCGGATAATAAATTAATATAAACTGAATAGAATTGAAAAATGACTCCGAATATCAAAGGTTGGCTACGCCTAGATTAATATTGTTTATTTTAAGTTAGACAGAAGCTATAAAAACTGCTTTCAAATGCTGTAAACAGTAAATAGGTATAGTTTTGTAGTATATAGTATGACTAATGTCAATGCTGCATATAATCTTGTTATTAAAATCCATCAAACTTTATTGCAGCAATGCGGTCTGATCAGATGTCCCCATTCAAATATAAACAAACCTGGATCGTCAGCTTGTTCAATTCACATGTCTGAGAATACCATATGTACATTTTACAGTGGAATCACCCACTTTTAAAATGGGAAAATATGTGGCAACTAAATAGGGTTTAATAAGCCCCCAAAGGCAGCGACACTAGGGCGAATAAATTAGCATTTGGTGATACCTGTCCCTGTTCAAATATCCTGTCACTTTTGATGGTATGTTAAAACGACTAAACTAATTTAAGTGCAGCTTATTGATTTCAATTCTATGTTTTGAATGGAAAGTAGACCGCCATTTCAGCTGGTTTGGCTAGAATTGACGGCAGCAATTTTGCGACAATTACGCGGCAATTACAAGAGCTCAGAGCAGTCTCTGTCGTGTGGCTGTGCTCGGCGAAATTAAATAAACGCATAAGCCGGGATGAAGGTTACTGGGAGGCGGGTGCCTTGTGGTAGGTGCACAACGCCTCCGCATTGGGTGAAACTTGTAATGGAAATGGTAAAAGTTTGCTTGCACTCGGTTCGTGGCAGTTGGCGACACCATTCACCAAACTTTTACAAATTGCACAAAATTTAATTTCCCAAGTGTGATACATTCTGGGGCTATTACCATTTTCAGTATGCAATCGAAAGTTGGATCTTAGATCAAAGGAAATCTAATGACCTGCAAGAGGCGTTGCTTGTGTCTGCGCAAATATTGTCCATTGACCACAAGAACTCAACAAAATAGACACCAAATTAGTGTCAAATCAAACACGACTCTTTGAACTAATTAAACGGCATAGTAAACACAAAGGGCAGGCACGGCTAAGTTGATTAGGCCAAGTCGATAGGACAAAGGACCGACTAACTAACCACCTAATACCACACCTAATGCAATGATGGATACTCGTAGCTGGGAGCCCTGACTGCTGTGCCTGCTGCAAAAACCAAAGCTTAATGCAACAAAAGCCGAAACTTAATTAATATTTACATGGCAGGACGAAGGACTGCCTTCGTTGAGGGAAGAAAGTCGAGAGCTCAGAGATGCTCCCACTCTTGGTGTTATCTCCTGTGCGGGGCTGTCATGTTTGCATATGTGCCGGCGCCGTTCTTCCTGAAGGCTCCAGAAAGTCCGGAGCCACTGCAAAGGCGATGCAGCTGGGGCTGGGGCTGGGGGTGGTACTCCTGCATGGTTGCTAGAAATCAATTCGCATTGTTAACCCATGATTGGATATTATTGATTCAATTTGCAGCCAACCGACCAAAACATGTTTTATGCATGTCCGTGTTCCCCCTACGTCCCTGTCTGGCGGTGCATGTGTGCCGATAATGTCCTTCTGTATCGATAATGGTGCATACGCACGCTCGCACATCAACACCAACACCAACACTCAGGTACGCATGGTGGAGATGGTGGAGCCTGACTCCGGAGTTTAATTTAAGCATCGGCTGACTCTGCGGTACAGTGGGCTACGGTTAATGGCTTGCTAATGGTAATAATGTATCCAACAAGTTTCGCATGCAAGAGTTACTCGTAATGCCAGAATAATATAGATGTTGGAGTATAAAGAGGCTTCAACATATGATACCCTTATTGTAAAAACAACTCGGTTTTCTCAAAGCCTGAAATTTATCTGTAAGGATCTGTATCTCTGTATCTAGATTACAGAGTGCTGTTCACCGCCCAAAACATTGTGTGTTCTAAAATACTACCATGTTAGCTCCGATTTTGATGCTAGAGAAAACAATATGTTCCGAGTGTTAGCATTTAGCATTTCACCATTAGAATTAATCATCTACCATCAGCATTTAGCGTTCGGAGAACTGTCAAAGAGTGTAGGGAATCAATTTGCTAGATAACTTTATCTGCTGATTTCAAATTCCAGCCAGATAGCTTATAAAATTATATTTAAATTGGGCCCTAATATTGTAAGAATCTTATTTAAGGATAGTCATTTCTTTTGGTTTAACCAAAAGAACGTGCTAGCGTTTATTAGTTGATTTGGGTAGCATTTTACATTTACATGCCTTTAATTTCAGCTTTATTTGTACTAAGTCCGATTCTTCAGCAATGATCACTACTCTATGGTGTAAGTACTTTTGCAGCCGCTGGATTGTATCAATAATTAGAATCAATAACTTAAGGTGTTTCCTATTTCTTGCTGAGTGGGCGAATTGAATTAGCATTGGCTTTTTGGAATAGCCTTAACCCCCTATGGAGGGAATCTAAGCTGAAAGCCCAGTACTGTTTACGTAAGTCACAGAACCAACACAGAGAAAAATGGTACAAGAAAAATGCTCGACACATGCTCTGACTAAAAATATGAAAACGACAAGAGTAAGAGTACAATACCAGAGCCAGCGAAAGTAAGTGTCCCGACTAAGAAGTACCTACCTATCTATTCATTGTTAGATATTTCATATAATTAATAGATCATTATTAAGAGCATGTAAATGAATCTGAATTCTATAAGACTCTCCTTGGCTTACAATCATTTTCTGTTGATTGCACAAACTGAAAATACCCGTGTTATTCAAAGGTACAGGGTATAGAGGTGGAGAAACACACACAGCAAAGCAGTAAATTGGCGGTGATAAAATTGAAAATCCACTGGAAACTGCGCTAACCGATTTGGCCCACAGTGAAGACCGTAACCGTGGACCCCCGAGAGCCGCAAAGGCGAAGCAAGGAAGTCGGCGCGTTGAGTTGTGAAAGCCATACGGAAACGGCGGACGTAACTCGCCGGTTGCAGGCCAGAAAAGCGCCACGAAAAGGCCATTAGGTGGCCTCTTTTTTGCCGTGGTCGCTGTTACCTGCCGTATTGGTTCGCCGTTGTGGGGGAAATATTTAGGAGCTTTGATTTGGGTAGATTGCCAAAGGTTTCAATAAGGCTGCTTGATCGGCTGGCAGGGAGCAGTTCGGGAAAAGCAGTGACTTGATTCGGCAAACGTGGTGATAAGTTGAAACTGAAAGGTATCTGTTTGGATATAAATCTGGAAATGTGTACATTCGATGTATAATCACATGATAGTAAGAATTATTCACCCATGAACCCTTTATAAGTGATGAAACATCTTTATCAATGTACAAAACATCCTGATTTTAAAGCTAAATATCTTATCCTATTATTTTTATGTACTCGGCCATTTACCACAACCTTGACCATTAATCCCAGTTGCTTTGCGGGTGAGAATGTAATAAAAATGTAATATTATCTATTGGGAACACATTAATTTGAGCAACGTTCACGCTAAATGTCTGGATATATTTATTTTATTGGAGTTTGAGAGTTTCTGCTGCATACATGTATACAATTTATTGGTTTCAAAGAACCTATAATTCTCCGAAAGACAATGAAATCATAGAAACAGAAGAAAAAGTTCAGTCGTTGTTGTGAGTTTGTCACTTGTTAATAAAACATCTAACTTAACGGTATATTCCTCCTTATAGGAGGTCTTTGTAAACGTTGCTTTTATAATATGTATTTAAATGATTAAAAAAAAACACTGATATTTTCTAAGCCTCGAAAATGTTTGCTTTTTGCGTATATTTGCCAACCTCTTCAATTGTCGGCTGCAATTTGCGCTTCATATGCCATCAGCTTGTCTTTTTCTTGCCTGATTGTTGCTAATGCGCTTTAAGTATCAGCATGCCACGCCCACACAGTCGCCCACATGAATCAATTGCCACTAGATGGTCCCATAATGCCATCTCGAGTGTCTTTGGCAAGGGCCTGAGTCCCATCTTTCGGTGCTGCAATTTACTCGAATTGCATCGGGAGCAAAAAATGGAAAGCTTCCGCTTAATACCCACACTTTTGGGTGTCGTTTCTCGCATGACACCAGCAGAACGCAGCAAACGCTCTCGGATTTCAGCTAAATGCTTATCCCAAAGGGGCTATAACTGGCTAGCTGGGAAATTGGGCTGCAGTGGATTGCAGGGGTATATCCTTGCTTTAAAAGACATTTACTCACTTTCCAGAGCTTTGTCTAGATTAGGGTTA